CAGGCTCTCGGGGTGTCTGGTGGGAGGTTCAGGCTCTCGTGTGTCTCTGGTGGGGGGTGCAGGCTCTCGGGGTGTCTGGTGGGAGGTTCAGGCTCTCGTGTGTCTCTGGTGGGGGGTGCAGGCTCTCGGGGTGTCTGGTGGGAGGTTCAGGCTCTCGTGTGTCTCTGGTGGGGGGTGCAGGCTCTCGGGGTGTCTGGTGGGAGGTTCAGGCTCTCGTGTGTCTCTGGTGGGGGGTGCAGGCTCTCGGGGTGTCTGGTGGGAGGTTCAGGCTCTCGTGTGTCTCTGGTGGGGGGTGCAGGCTCTCGGGGTGTCTCTGGTGGGGGTTAGGTCTCGTACACTCACCTCACCTCAGTGTCAGGCGGGATGTAAGAGTCTCTTCGTTGCCATAACAACTCGTCCCTCCCACTAGCCGCTTCCCGTCTCCATGGATACCACCCGCCTACTTCCGGATAGAGCCTGGTCGCGAAAGAAAGCTGAGTGTGCAACATGTAAAAGTGTCCGCCCAGTGCTGAGGACATGAGAGCTCCGGGGCCGGTGGATGAGGGGGATGGGGGTGGATGCTGGGCACTGCCAGGGATGGGGGATGTGTATAAATGGGAATAATGGACCCAGGAGGCCAACAACAGTCCTTATGGGAGGGTGAGCCCATGAGGGGGTCCAATATGCTGGCCATGCTCATGTACTGATACCTACATACGTCATAGCTTTGTATGTTCACCTGTCCAGACAGCTGTGTGTAGTTTACATGTGGGTCATGTGATCTTTGTATGTTATCACGTGTTATGATGTCCGCAGATCTCTGTGGGTCATGTGATTTCTGTATGACATCACGTGTTATGATGTCATTGTGTATCCGTTGATGTTCTAGGAGCGTAGTCACCATTATGAGCGTCTCTGTCCTGAGGAAGCCTCTTGTCGGTGAAACGCGTAGAGAGGATGGCGGCTCAGTCATACAGATCAGTGTGATGGACACGGATGATGGCGGCTCAGTCATACAGATCAGTGTGATGGACACGGATGATGGCGGCTCAGTCATACAGATCAGTGTGATGGACACGGATGAAGCCGTCCTCAGTCATACAAATCAGTGTGATGGACACGGATGATGGCCCTTTATCTGCCCAGTGCGGCCCCCTTATCTGCCCAGTGCGGCCCCCTGACACAATTCCATTTGTCTTCCCATGACAAGTAAAATACAAGGGCCCCGGCTAGGAGGGGGATAGCGGTTGGCCGGCGTCCTTCCTTCCCCAGTGACACGTCTTCCTATAATTGGATTATTTCCCCGAGGGGTGACGATTGTTGGCGGCCTCACAGGAGGCGATTATACAGATCTGATTACAGAGCCACCCGGTGCCAAGTGATTGGGTGCCAAGTGGTTGGGACGGTTCCAGGACTGAACACGGCTGCCGATCGCCCCAGTGATGGAAGATGGCACGGATTGTGCACATGGAGACTCTGGGGCCGTCTCTGTCTAGGGGCCCAGTGATTGCGCAATCTTCCTCAGATTTATCGGTCATCAAACCGGCATGTCTGGCCAATCACACCGATGAGGGTCCAATGAGAAATACGGTCACATGGTGTCACAGCCTTTCCTCGGGGAATATTTCCTGTACACTTCCACCGGTAGAATACGCGTTCCTGGAGTCACTAAGATGAGTGCGGGGATGGTGCAAATAAATCACACGTGCACGAGTGGCCATCTCTGGAGGAAGGCGTGGAATGGCCATCGCTGGAGGAGGGTGTGGAGTGGCCATGGCTGGAGGAGGGTGTGTTTAGTGGCCATCGCTGGAGGAAGGCGTGGAATGGCCATCGCTGGAGGAGGGTGTGGAGTGGCCATCGCTGGTGGAGGGCGTGGAGTGGCCATGGCTGGAGGAGGGTGTGTTTAGTGGCCATCGCTGGAGGAGGGTGTGGAGTGGCCATCGCTGGAGGAGGGTGTGGAGTGGCCATGGCTGG